AAAACCCAGCCTCCCCCTGAGGAGAGAGTGATTATAAAGCACTTATGGGAGACAAGTTGTGCCTGTGCCCTGTGTTCACGTCTGTACAGTTTAACAGATGTGGGAGCCAAGAGGGTGCAGCTTTATATAGAGCAATGAGCTTCCTGCTGCTACAACCTGGAAAGAAGAGAAAAGCATATGTAAAAGCTGGAAATGTGTGCTTTGCTTTAGTTTTAGTTTTTTTTTAATATTAAATTATGGTCAGATTAGACGTCAGAATTGAAATTTACTTCAATTTACAGGCTGTGAGTGTGAGTGTGAGGAAACCAGTTACTGCAGTATATGAAAAATACAGATACAGCAGCACTAATTTAATATTTCACCATTCACTATGATCTGATTACATTTCTCATCAGTGCTGCCAACGTTGAGCTGCCAAATACAATTAGACTGACATGCTGGGAATGAAAATATTATTATTTTTGGCTCATTAATTTGAGTAACTGATTTTTGTATCTTTGTATGTATTCTGACTCACCTGTTCTGAGATTTTTGGCATCCCAAGGTCCGAGATTACATCTGACCAGGCTTTATTTTAGCAGATTCTGTTAGATTAGAAGTGACATCGCAGCAGTGTGTTGATTGTCCTGTATGCAGTGAACCGGTGTTTCTGATGTTTCTGCCTTAAATATTTGTCCTCATTTATTAAACTTCAGACTAACTCTATGCAATATTTAGCCTATATTTTACCATTTGTATAATTTTAAGAAAAACTTCTGAACTCTCTTTGATTTATTTTAGACAAATTTAGTTACTTTTAAGCTAACCCTTCTGCTTGTAAATAGCTTTTTCTCTGGCAAAGCTTAAGTAAGTTTTTGGACGATTTTATTACTTTTGCCTAACTTCTAGCAACTTTGTAGAATCATATTAGTTTATAATATATCTGCTTTTTGAATTGATATACAATTCTCATAAGTTTTTCTAACTTTTAGCTGGGGGAATGTTATATATTTTTTATTTTTTTTTTGCATATTATCATGGGATCTCACTCCAGTGTTTTACTTGTGTTTTTGCAAACCTTAACTAGCCCAATATTGTATTTCAAAATATTTTATGAACTTGCATTGTGAGGTTGCATATTACAATAAAAATAATTCCACTTGTTGTTTGACTTGTGGGCTGTACAAATTGCAGGGCTGCACTGCACATGTGTTGTGATATTCAATGTGTCCACATGTGGTCGGTTGCCAGACAAGAATAGCAGTTTGAAAGAGACCCCCCAAACAATAGTGTGTTTGAACAGAGAGGCCTTTTCCCGTATATGGCTGCCCACTATTGGTTCATGGCTGAATGAGATGAAATGAGCCTTTGAGATTAGAAACAGTGACCTCTGCTTGTCATCTTTAAAAGGTTAACGACTCTGGGACAGTGAGGTAGTGTTGAAAGAGTGAGTCACTGTCACGAAGACGAGTGACTCATCACACAGACGTCAGGACGAGGCAGACGAGTCGTGACAGTTTTGAGAGGATTGTGAAAGAGGGGATAAGGAGGCAGGAAAGTGTGGAGGGTTGTGGGTGGGGGTAGATCTGGCAGCACAGAAGTATTTAATTTTCAGTGAAAAAAAAGACAGATGACACCATGGCATGTTACTGTAAAAGTTAGTGAAGTTTCAACATTTAATTAAATCTTTTGGTCTCTTATTAAAGACGCTCCAGAGGAAACTTGTAAGGCTGTTGGAAGTGACTGAGTCATGTCCGGTTTTAACATCCCAGTCGGAGGATATAAATCACCCAGACCTCTGACCACATTTATTCAAAGACACACTTTTGGCTGTACTGCATCCTCCACTGTTCACATTAACAGAGGAGGGCACTGCTCTGATAATCCGTCACAGCTGGTTTGATGAGCACAAACCATTGAAACCAGGCTGCAATTTTAGAGATCCTCAGAGGCCACTGAACAGTTCAAATGAAAGCCAGGATGGTTCTACAGCGGTTAAGTCACATTAACCACTTTTTTATGTTGAAGTTAGCATCGCTTACAATTATGTATTAAGGGTCTTTAATCATACTGAAGATTACTGCTGCTTAAAATACAACAGGGAAGTTATTTTTTTACATAAACTTTTAGTTTATGCCATTAGGAGAAATATGTTTCCCCTCAAACGTTAAAATCTGCATTGATCATCAGGCATCTTTACTTTACTCATGGGATGAAGTACAAAGTAATGGTACTTCATTGGTGATGCTTGATATAAAACATTTTATATTTACCTCTTCTTCCAACCAACAAAGCTTCAAGTACAGTTCTTATGGAATGATGGGAATCTGCTGATGACATGTTTCTTAAATGTAATAGTAATTAAAAGTTATTTTGTCTCTTGATCATTAAGGGAGTGTTAAGTCATTCCCAATTTTAGGAACCACAAATTAGATTTTGTTTGTCAGAGTCTCTGGTAATTGTTCCTGTGTTTACACCACCTGTTTGCCATGTGATGCAATGTTCCTTGTATACAATCTTTGGATGTCTTTGGATGTCAAGAAATCCAAAGACAAGTTGAAAACCAATCTTCAGCTATGAAATTAGCAAAGTTATTTCTCTATATTTCCAGTTCTACTGTTTGTTTTTTTTAATTTGGGGATGTTGTTTACACCAGATTAAAATACTGTTTCTTTCAAATGGTCTTTCAGCTTTGAAAAAAAAAATTAAAAAAAGGACAGAATGAGTAAAACTGAATGGAACTGGAGCTTTGATTAATAAATCATTTCATTAGGTTTAGTTAAACATTTGATGTTTGCTCCAATTGCAAAATAGTTGTTTATGAGTGTTGCAAAACCTCAAACAGTTATTCCACTTGCCTCAGAGATGTGTCTCAGCACGTGTGTGTTATTGGGAATTCTGGGAAAAGTCTTTTTTGACTTGCAATATTATTTCCTAAAAGTCTTTTTTGACTTGCAATATTATTATAGATAGAAAATAGATAGAAATTTAAAAAAAAAATGTTGGAAAATGAAAAAAGCAAGTCACTGCTGCAGGTGCACATAATTTTAATTCCATGTAATACCATTTTAAACTGTACATTTTTATTCTATGATATTAATATTTTTGCCTTCCTTCCACCCTCGCTGTCTCCTTTTCTCTCGTCAGAACGCTGTCTTGAAGACCATGAGCTGGTGGTCCAGGTCCAGGCCTCTATGAGCAGCGACAGTAGATTCCTCTTCAGGAAGAATTATGCCAAATATGAGTTCTTCAGGAACCCCTTGGTAATGGCTTGTTGTAATTTTTTTTCTTCCTTCCTTCAACATCAGCTTGTTTAAATCTCATACATATTCCTCTGTAAATCATGTGCTTGCTTTGGGCCTGCATGATTCTTTTAATTCTCTAATAATTTAAAAAAAGACAGCCTTCATTGAGAAGATATCGCCTTTAAAGGAATACCTTTACTGCTCTCAAATTTGTCTTCCATGACAAAAACGAGGTATTCCTGTGAATCATGACAGCAGCCTGTAGTGATGAGAATTTGTGACGATCTTTTTTTCCCAACACAAATCCTTCCCTGTTATGATCGCTCCGCTGGCTGATCGTCTCTGTCTCCACCTTCTGCTTTAACCACCAGACTTTTTTCCCGGAGCAAATGGTTGCATGGTGCCAGGAAACCAATCGAACGATTCCACCATCTCAGCTCCTCCAGGTAGATGGAAACAGAAACACACAGGCAAACACACACATGTACATAACCCAATAACACGTGGTTGAGTTTGTCTAAGAGTCAGCACATGTTACATACTGTACAATCAAGCGTGACATACGTCACCTTTAACCCTTAGACAGGCTGACGCGTCAGAGCCTGCAGTAATAACCACTGTTGAGCCCTGTTGACACATCACTGTCTCGGCACATGCGTTGTAGGTCCGACACTTTTGATGGATGTCATTAGTCCTACAGAAACAGAACCTGTTTTTCTTCACCTCTTTCTTTTTATTGTGATTGTACTGGACTGTATTTCATGCCACTCATCAGGCTAACAGGACGCTCAGGGGCAAAATAGAAGATATGAAGTGTGAAAAAAACGTCAACGTGATTCTTTAGGTTTAGAAAGGCTTTGGTCCAAATGAATGAAGGCTTTACTTGAAGCCTGGCTTCTACTTCTTCTTTCGTGCAATGTAGAGAGTATAGGACACATCCCTTGAATAAATAAATAAATGAGAAAACATTTCACGGTTTGACTTTGTCTAAACACAACACTTTTGTAGTCAGCTAGCCTGCTGTTCCATGTCAAATCAGCAGAACTCAACCATGTGTCTGCAGTATTCATTATTATGACAGTAACTTATGTGATTAAAAGGTGTCAGGTGAAGCACGTTGTGGAAAAAATGAATTGCATATCACTGAGTCCCCACAATAGTAAGAGGATGGTCACACGAGGGGCCAATCTTGGTCTGTTTCCACAACACTAAGAAGCATTTGCCTCAAACGTTATGAGAAATCCTCTGGAACAGGTTACCTTTCAGCCACAGGCCACAGGTTCCAATTAAGCTCTAATAACATAGCTTGTCACTTCATGTCGTGATGTTTTTTGTGAAACACAGAAACCACAAATTTCAGAAACCCACAACATAATTAAGGCTCTAACAGTCCCCTGTAAGAATGTCTTGCTCGTTGATTTATTGTGTTTGTTTTGGCACACAGTTTTAAATTATGTTTTTCTTTCTCTTCCCATAACTAGAACACATGGCATAGAAAAACATTTTCCTAAAATGAATTATAGTTCCTCTTTAAAACAAATGTTATGACTAATAATATACATCTAGCTGTATGTAGCGATGTGTTGTACAACCACATACACAGGGGCCTTTTTTCATGCATGTCAAGCAAGTAGCATGAGTAGATAATAAAAGCATTTAAAATCCCAAATATAGTAAAATACCAAACTTGTGTTTAAAAAAGCTGTCGTTAGCTGTAGCATAACTTTGAGGTAACAAGAATAGTTAAATATTATCCCTAAATTATATCAGAATATATTTAAAGATATGATTAATTGAAAATATTTACCGAAGTTTAAATTGTGTGCTGTGATAGATAATAGCTGGCAAAGTTAGCGAAAACCTAGCTTATAAATATCGTAAATGTTAAAATTCTCACCCACAGTACATGGACCAAATATAGAAATATTGACTAAAATATAGTTAAGACAAGAGGACAGCAAAGAGATATTTTGACAAATATAAACCAAAAGTTAGTCAAATAAAAGCCTAGACTATGACAAAAAATATGAGAATTAGCCAACGGATAAGCTAAAGCTAGCATTGATGCTCAAATACCAAAAACTGGCTAAAATAAATAAGTTAACTTTTCAAATTATTATTATTGTTGTTGTTGTTTTTGTTGTTGTTGTTATCATTATTACAACAGTTAAAATAGCTTGGGCCTCTGTTAAGAACTAATTTCATTTTCTCATTTTAACTGGACTGCTGTTCACATCAGTATTATGTTTCAGACCAGTGTCTGGTTTTATTGTGGTGCAGAACATGTCAGTCATCAGATGTCAGTGTGGCAGTGATACAGGATGCCCTGTAGGCACTTCATTCTCTGACAAAAAGACATTTTTTGCAGACTTTATACAGTATTTGATGTATTGTTGTGCTCCTGGGTGAGGGAACGAAGGAAAGATTTATAGGAAATGTGTGCTTCACAACTTTCCTGGTGTCTGTTTCAGAACTTCCTTACAACCAGTAGTTGTCCAGAGATCCAGGGTTATCTGTATGTGAAGGAGGTGGGAAGGAAGTCATGGAAGAAAGTTTACATGTTCCTGCGGCGCTCAGGACTCTACTGTTCCGTAAAAGGAACCTCAAAGGTAACAGCGACCAAAGTCTACAGTCAATATAAAACGTTTAAACTGGAGTAGTTTATCATTTAATGATTATGTTGAGAAAATCTGAACTGTGTTTAAAAGGAGTTTACTATAGATGGTAGTCCTTCAGCTATTGTTTTTCTTCATTCCTCCAGTCTGTGTCTCTGTTTGTCATGCCGTGACTTATTAATTATTTCTGTCTGCAGGAACCCAGGCATCTACAGTTACTCGCAGACATGGAAGAAAACAACATTTTCACTGTCATCACAGGCAAAAAGCAGCATGGTGCACCCACAGACTACGGCTTCTGCATCAAGGTGAGGTCCCAGGTCAAAGAGGAGACAGTCTGCAAATGAAACAGAGACATGTGACCATGAAAAAACTAACATGCACTATAGCTACATTTCTTATTCAAATAATTGGTCAAATTAATTCAGTTCCAGACTGATCTCTGTGTTTCTAAATGAAATATTTCAGCCAAACAAAGCTCGACAGGAGCTCAAGGACTTCAGGATGTTGTGTGCGGAAGATGAACAGGGAAGGACCTGCTGGATGACTGCATTCAGACTGTTTAAGGTATGAACCTTTTTAGTTTTTTGGAATGATTAATGCTATAGCATTATAATACAGAGATTCATTGGAAAGTAGTGAGTTTACTGAGGTCTTTAAATGCTGAATATCATAAATACTTGACCCCGATGTTACTGTTATCTTACTGTTGGTAAAAATAAAAATGCTGTTTTACATTGCAACTGTAAGTACATTTAAACATGTTAGAAGGCAAAACAAGCCAGAGGTTTGCACCTGCAGACAGTGGGGGGAATTGGTGTATATGTATATGATTATATTTATCTCAATGATGAATGTATTTAAATGTTTGAAATACTACTATGCTTTTTGTCTTTTTTTTTACAGTTTGGGATTGTACTGTACCAGAATTACAAGATTCCCCAGCAAAGAAAAACATTAATCTCACATTTCTCAACACCTGTGGTGAGTTTAACTAAACATTAAATATTCATAGGATAATCTAAAACACTTTGAAATACTTTCGATTGGCAGTTGTTGCTCCCTTTGTTACTAAATTTTAACTTGTATTTCTGTCGCCCTCTAGCGGAGCGTGTCAGAGAACTCCCTTGTGGCCATGGATTTCTCAGGGAGAATAGGCCGAGTGATCGACAACCCCTTGGAAGCTCAGAGCGCAGCCATGGAGGAGGGCCACGCATGGAGGGTGAGACACGACCTAAAAAATCTCTGCAGATGACATCGGTTATTTTTGCTCCTATATTTATAAATAACAGATTTCCCTCTGGTTAACTTGGTGCCTTTTCATTTTCTTTGGCCTGACACTGGTTGTCTGTCATAAATCTGATATGTTTGTGGGACACTTGCCATCCACAGTCATAAATTTAATGTAATTAATACTGTAAGTGGAGGATTTTGGTGGTTAGCAGAGCACAGATTGACTTTGGTCCAGAGTAATTTTGGAAAATAATTATGACATGAGCAATTATGACATGCATAACCTATGAAATCATCCAATCTGCTTTTCCTCTAAGTACTTGTATAATTAAAGCTGCTGTCAGTGATGTCATTTTTGGCTCTGCTCCTCCCTATATCCGCCCTGAAACTAGTGAGTCCGAAGATATATTAGCAAATATATTGCTGTGCACAGTAGTGAATCTGATAAAGAGGACATGGACAGCATTCTGTCATTGGGCCAAATCTTTTTTATTGCCCATATCCACATTGTGTGGGTAGTGGGAAGCTTTTGTCACCCATTTAAAGCAGGGTCTCATGCAGGCTGTGGATGAAGGAAGCAGGGGCAAATGTGCCTATTTGTTTAGGGGCAGGGTAAAGCTAATCTTTGCAAGAAGGTTAAATAATTCACACCTAAACTGTGTTTGTTGTTGAAAATCACTCAAACTCAATACCTTGTGTGTGTGAGATAGTGGATTTGTGCAATCCACACAGGTGCCTTCATTTGTGAATCCTAGTCAATGTGTTTTCTTCAGATTTCCCACTTTGTTTAGTTTTCAAATTCATTTGATGGTTTGTTTTTGTGATGAAAAAGTTTAAAAGACCAAAACATTTTTCCTTGCACGGAGAATGGGAGGGACAGATATTTTGGGGTGGATCTGTTTGGCCCAGGCGACCAAGTAAGTTAGGACGGATCTACTGTAGGTATTGAGGGGATTTCTCCATTTTAACACAGACTTCCATTCATACATATGCAGTTACTTCTGAGGCCATTGGAGCAACTTTAACACCCACAACAGTACAAATGTACAGCTCTGTTCTGAAGTATTAATACAGAACTCAAAATAATCCCTGCTCTATTCTTTCTATGTGGCCTCTCTCTCAGAAGAGGAGTCAGCGAATGAACGTATTGGGCTCCCACAGTCCACTGCACCACTCTTCACTAAGCTCAGGTAAAGGCGAAGGTACTCCTGGTCACATTTTCTCCTCTTTTATTCTAAACAATCTCTAAAGTACCTTTTATTTTATTTTTTTTCCCTCTCACACTCATTTGCAGTTATCCACATAGCACAGCTGTGGTTCCATGGCAGGATATCGAGAGAAGAGTCTCATCGAATTATCCACCAGCAGGGACAGGTAGACGGGTACGTGAGCTGCATTAATTTTCCACAAGGATTTTAAATGAACTCAGTATTAAATATAGAGGGGGAAAAAGTTGGTTTAACTATTGTTTATATATGTAAATGCGCATTGACATATATACAGCATGCTTTTGGAAATCAAGTGAGAAGATTTAGTCCATTCATTGTTCGTTAATGAGGCTTGGCTGTTACAAACAAAACCTCAAACCTGTACTATTCACTACTTAACATGCTTAAAATATCATGACAGATGTTCTGCAACATGAACTGGTTTCTTAGGAGTCATAACTTGACTTGAATGTTTATCATAGTCATTGTGTAGAAGCAGTAAAAAGGACACTTCTGTGAATGAATGTCCAAACTAATCGCTGTCCTGCGTTGTTATCTATAGAATTTAAAAATCCATATTTCTCCTAAGAGTTGAAATAACTGTGTTTCCTCCTGTCTTTTGTTGTGTAGGATTTTTCTGCTGAGAGTCAGTCAGAGTAATCCCAAGGCGTTTGTGCTCACATTGTGCCATCACCAGAAAATCAAACATTTCCAGATTCTGCCGGTAAGTCTGATGGTTCTTATCACGTTCATCTTAAACTGTTGCCTATTTCATCAGCAACTCTCACCTCGGACTCTTGTCCTCTCCGACAGTGTGAAGAGGACGGCCAAATTTTCTTCAGCCTTGACGACGGTGCCACCAAATTCACTGACCTGATTCAGCTTGTGGAGTTCTACCAGCTCAACAGAGGAGTGCTGCCTTGTAAACTCAGACACCCCTGCACTGTCGTGGCCTTATGACGTCTTCACATCCTCTAAGTCCATTTCCCTTGACCTGACTCTGCATAATACAAGCAAAACAAAAAGAATTACGCCGTGGGGTGGTCCTTGTGTTCTTATCTTTATAAGAAGCTGGTGAATTGACTGATGTTTTATTGTTCTTGTTCATGTCACCGTGACTCCACCAGGAACTGCTGAATTTTTTTTTTTTTTTTTTAGTTTGCATGGGTGTTTCAGGAGTTGGATGTGCAACTTTTTTCCTGTCAAGGAAATGAACACTGCCATGTGTGTCACCGCTGTTGCAGAATCTTCCACAGCCTCACTTTCTGCAGTCATGAATAAGCTTGGACGCAAATCCTTCAAAGGTTTAGGCGAGGACTGAATTTTTATTCTTCATCTGGACAATCGGCAGGATTTTTTCTTTCTGTAGGACCACTCACTTTAACTTTTCATCACACTTCCTCAGAGAATATACTGTAGATGGAAAGTTGATTGTTTTGCACTCATCAAATTGGGAGTGGCCTTTGCCGGTGCATGACCTCACGTTACTTAACTTTGACACGGTGCCGCCGCCTTCTAGTGTCACAGGCATGAAAGGACATGAACTCTTCAACGTGGTCAAGCTTTGCAGGTTCTGGAGGGTTTCTGCTGAACTGTTTGGAGGTCTAAAACAACTCAAGTATTTTATTCTCTCTCTAGAAGAAAAAAAAAAAAGAAAGGAGAAATCTGGACCTACCAGGACAAAGTCCTTGTTTGACACACTGTCTTTATTGCCTGCCCTCTCAGATATCATCTTCTTATCTCTTATGACACAGGGTTTCATTGGTTGTATAAGCACTCATTTAAGTTAAGTTTGATTTTTATTTTTACATTTGTTTTAAAAAAGGTCTTTATTACTCACCTAAGCTACAATGGAGCATTTCTCCTACACAATTCCTACATAAATTAGTTGGTACGATCACAAACCAGAGCGACATTCAGGGTAAAATGAATAAAAATAATGGAGTGAAGTGAGGACACTCATCACCAAATCAACAGTTTATCAGGTCAAGCCATACGCAGTAGTGCTGTCTTTGTTTCTCTCACATTTAAGCTACCAAGTCGTGTAAAAGATTTAAAAAAATCCAAGATGATGACAATGGAGAGCACAGTACAGGGTAACCACTATAGTCTCCCTCAGGCGCTTTTAATGACAACAAAATTAAAGAAAACAGTCTGCATCATCACAGTGAATCCTATGGATAACATCTGTCTGAAAAGATGACCCTGCTCACATGTAGAATAGTGTGCATACAGTACAAACCTCTGATAAACCTTGAAAATATGTTTTTTTCTTCACTGGAGGAAAAGAAAAGATATTTTAAATCCCAATATAATGCTGGTGGTAAAATACAGCTCCAAACCATTACAGAGCCTACCCCAATCTGACAAAGGTTTCCAGTCATTAATATATTTTCTTTCTTTGCCTCCTCAAACTCTGACATGCCAGACTTTTTTTACAACTTAACACTGGAATCAAGTGCATTTAAGAGCATCAGAGAAAAGACTGACATTCAACAAGATTAAATCAACCAGACAGTAGTCAAAGATACTTCATAACCTCCTCATAAAAAATATTTCTCTAGATTATATTTCAAAAGTAAACAGTATATCATGTTGAACAATATAGAAAGCAGAGGCGGCCAAAAACTTATGCACACTCATTTCTACTAAACGAGTTGTCAAGGTTAGTAAAAAAAACTGATAGTCGACCCTGTGACTGAAACATCACATATCTGAAACATTGAACATCAGCTTACTGCTGCTGTTCAGTCGTGTTTTACACTATCTCTGTTACAATCATCAAATTTCCCACCTGACCAAAATACATGGAATATTGAAATGAAAACAATTGTACTAGACTGAGCACAACCTTTACTGCGTTGACCATAGGGTTCAGTGCGATTGTAGTTTTAACTAACAACAGCTGTTGACCTAAAGCCAGATGAGGTCAGTTCATCTCCTTACCAACCTTCAGTATTTCATTTTGGGTTTTCTCTTAATTGGACCTAAGTGACCGATGATGACTTCATGACACACGTCTGTAAAATCTGGAACTATGTTGACATCATGTGCATGTGTGAGGCAAAGTCAATTTTAGGCCCTGACTTGGATTATCTGAAGAATGATGATATCGAAGCATGAAATTGCTCTCACACTGTAGTTTTGCACATATACAATCGTGTTCCTCAGAAATATTAAAATAAGAATGTTTAATTGAAAATAGATAAAAGTAATAAAATAGTAAAAATTAATTGTATATTTTAGAGGACACTCTAATCTATCCTTTAATTTTCATTTTATTATCAATGTCAATTTGCAGGTCAAAAAAAGATTATATAACAGTACCAATAGCACATAATGCAACATAACTTTAATTTTAAATGGATAGGGATGACTGTTACTGTCACTGATTGACCATTTTTAGGTAACAATTAATCAAAACCCATTATAATGTACTGAGGAAATATATACATTTCTGACATTGTATCTATTTATTTATTATATATTTTCATTTTCCCATTTTCCCAGTCTCTTCTCTTGGTAAAGTGGCTCTGATTCAACCTCTGTGAAATCTCTCCAGTTATTTCATATTTGTTTTACTACCTTGACGGTTTCACTGGCAGAAGCCCCCATTGATTCACGTCTATTTGCCAACAACATTAAAAAGTACATGCAGGTTGATTTAAGGCAAACTGAACATCTGAGCTGCACAATAGTGGCACTAAATTAAGACGCTTTGCATGGTCCCTGTGTACGATGCAATGACTCAATCCTTTTTCTTCTTTTTTTTTTTCAAAGTTTTGTTGCAGCAAAATGTATTTATTTATCTGGATGTGATTACTTGAAATTTGTTAGATATCTTTTTTTTTTCTCAGCGCTGTTCTGTACAGTCTTCTGTTGACATGACATAAAATAATTGACCAGTGTGATTAATTAAGATTATTATTATTACTACAATGACTGTTGTTCTAATGACCTAGCATCATTTAAGTTTGTTTTTTAGTTGTTGTTTTTTTTAAAGACATTGTTTCATCATCATCCACCCTTGTTCTGAGGTGATGTTTTAAAGCACACCAACATCGATAGTATTAACAATGCAATTCTGATTAATGACAATTTGAATGATGTGATTCCCCCCAACTTTTTTTCAAAGTATGTCAAACTCCAAAAACATTGTTATATATATTTCCATAATGATTAATGGCCATCTCGACAAAAAATGAAATTGAGTCACAGATCTGTAAAAGTTTTGTAGAACTCTGTTAAAATGCCTGTCCGTTAAGAAAATATTATTAAAATAAGTGTAAACGTGGGAAAACAAAACCCTTTAAATCCATTCAATTTAAAACAATATCCAATGCAAAAAAAACTAACAATTTTATTACTTGCTTGAATGTAAGATGTCAGATTTAATAGAAATTGTTATTGAGATCTCAATTAAGTCAATGAATTGACTGTTAAGTCTTTACTTAAACATTGGTGCTTGAAATTTTTAATAGTTAATTTGAATACTTTCTACGCAAATTACTTACTGCGTTGATTATTCTCTCCCCCAGTATTGTTTATGGTGGCAGATGTTAGGCCAGAGTGCCAGGTCACATGACCTTTGAGGCTCAAAATGCAAAAATGTTGGAAAGGAAGATCTTCTGTTTTTCGGTGCAGACAAGAAAATTAAAGTAATGTGTACAGTTAATTCACATTTTAACACTTACAGAGATGAATGTAACTGGGTTGCTCAGGGTTGAATGGGAGCATGTTAAAACTACTGGTCTACCACCTTTATATGACTTTTTTTGTACAGGATGATGATGATGATAATGATGATGATGATGAAATGATGAAGATGATGACTCCCTAATGTTGTAGATTCATTACGCTGGGAGTTTGTTGAGTTCTCGCCATGGTGTGCACACATTATCTGCTAGTTGTGATTACTTGAAATAGCCTTCAAACAAAATTAAGTAGGTCCAATACTATGTAAAGAGGACATTCAGTTCAAATGTGTTTTTAAAATTTTCTTAAAAACTTTTTAAAAATGTTTAATTAAAAAAGGCCTGAACTAGTTACCTGGATCCCTAAGCTGATTCAGCCTAAAACAATGATAAAAAAAAAACTTAAAATTAATGTATGCAGAAAAACTGGGTAGCCATGTAGTTTGTAAGCACAGATGGTGCCTCTCTGGTGACTTTTCTTTCTCATCCAGAATAATGGCCTGGACTGAATGGACAGAATGACAAAGCTATGCCTCAGATGACTCGATCACAAGCTGAAGAAAGATGATTAAAGGTTTCAAGTTTCCGTTTTCTCTGTGATTTGGCCCCAATTCTGCAACAGTGGATAGAAAGTCATCTTGGCTCTTGTACATTGTCTTAACATTGTGAGAATGCAAAATATCATGGCAACATGTGTGTATACATGCATATATATGTACTGTACGTGTGTGTATATATATACATATATATATATATATATGTCTGTACATGTAAATGTGTGCATATAGAAATATTAACTATGACATATTTCAGGGAATGCAAAAATGACAACAGTAACTTCACTCTTATGTTTTTTGTAAGAGAAAGCTCCTGTGTTCATAATATGCTTTGATTCAATCTGTAAATAGTTGAATGGCTTATAAATCATAATTGTAACCTTTTCAGGTATTTTTGTACAAATAAGGGACTGATATATTCTGTTTATTGTAATTAGAATAAAACATTAATACATTGCTATAAAAAATGTGTTTTGTTGTCTGAGGAACTAACCGCCTGCAGTTGTTCACTCTTTGTAGCTGTTCTAGCTACATTTTAGACGAACATTTAGCTTCTTCTTCTGTTACTGTTCTGCCTCTTTTACAATTTTTGTTTCATCTGTTTGTTCTGCAAGTTTTTTTATTATGTTTTTACTGCTTCTTTATCTTGTTTCAGCTGTAATGTCTATCCACCTTTTCCATGGCACATTTTGCTGATGCTAATTAGCATACAAAATACAAAGTAAAATTACTAGGAAATAGCTAGCTTTTGCCATCCTTGCTAACTTCCGCCCACATCCTTACAGGTAATTTGTATATTTTTGTTACATTTGTTGTTGACCATTCACCAAATTTGTAGATAAAACTATAACTATTTTCAATCTAATAATAACAATAATAATAATAGTAATTATTTTTATTATAAGCCTTATTATTATCATTTTGTATTGATGACTTGGTTCAGTTAAGGTCCAGCTTCATTTTATGTTCTTTTTTTATTGACCTATTTATTGGCTGACTTTCACCTGTAACCTGTATCCTTGGGTTAATACTGTAACAGGTTCCAGTCTATTTGTAAGTAAACTTTTAACCTATGGAGCAGGGACGGAAATAATTAACCAAGACCATTCACCTGCAGTGCAGGAAGTGGAGTAAAGGTGAACAAATCAAACACACCTGTGAGAAAAGGGAGGGAAATGCAACAAAGGAAGTGAACAGAGGGAGAAAGAGTTGAAAAAACTGAACTTTTATTTCACCATCTGTAGGGCCTTGAACTACATCAGTGGATTAAGCCAACTTGCCCTGTTTTCTGGTAAAGACTAAGTAACCAGTTTGTGGGAAGACTGCTTTGGAGAACTATTTTAAACCCTGGAACTACATTTGCAGAGACTTCGCTTGACAAAAACAAGTGGCAGATAAGTTGACGTTTCCAGCTTTCTTTTTGCTTCTACTGACTTTTACCCAAGAACTATGGGCATTTGTCTTCTCTTTTTCTTATCCATGGGTGTATTTAAACACACACATACACACTGGTTTCCATGATTGATATCAATTAAGTTTTTAATCATTAACTGTTAGCCTCTCTTGTGACTTGGTTTAAAATGTATCTATTTTGACCAAATTGTTATTTTTATTACTCGTTAAAATTGAAAGAGTAGGAAGTGCATTTAATCACATTAAACTGTACCTTTTATAGTTATATTTGTTGGGACATTCTGGAACACGACTGTTGTTGTAGGCACACTTCAAGCAGGGACATTTTTCTGTTCCCTACATGTTTGGAGTTAGGATTAGAAGTAGAATCAGATCAGTGTTAGCAGGGTCAGGATTAAGAATAGGTTTATATCTGTCATAGTTAAGCCAAGGGGAAATGTCCAAGCGATGCTTTGTCTATGTAAAGTGCTCACACTGTGTGTGTGTGTGTGTGTGTGTGTGTATTTTAACAGTTGACTCTGACACAAAAATTGAGCAAAGAGTACAAAATATATCGCTTTAAATTGTAATTGAATTAAACAGTAATACCTTGTGTTTCCACTAGATGGAAGGATTTCACAAGAGTTCATTGCTTGATTAAGCTTCAGTAAACCTGCACACATTTGTTCAAAGAAATGCAGCCACAATCTTTTACTTTTCTATTTTTCTTAAAATATTAATTGATTAATGACATACAGTATGTGTGATGCATAAGGCAATGCAAATTGAATCTGGCTAATGCGAGACCTGACCCTTTGACACCACATGTCACACCCCCTGGATTATAGGTCATGCAAAAACCCAGAATGCATAGTCTTAAGTGTTTTTGTATGTGCTTTAAATTTCCTTCAAGAAACTTTACAAAAAACCCTTGTTCCAAAAAACAACCTGTTCTACCTGGAGAGATGATCTTTCATGTAGAAGTAATTGCTAAAATCATGTAATATTCTATTTGTACAAAGCATAAATGGACCAAAACTAAATTTACTAATTTCAGTCACCATCATCTGTACATCAATGCTTGTACAGATTATTTACATATATATTCACATTGACAGAGTTATTGAAGGTTTACTGTAATCCTTGTTTAATGTATAATACAGTTCATGTGTTCAAATTTATGAATGTGTAACTCTTCAAATCTGCATTTCATGCCTTGGGCTCTGATCCAGGTCCTCATTGGTTGGTCTGGACCGGGGAGGTGGGAGTGGTTCATGCCAAGATAAAAGGAGCAATTGCCTCTTGTTCTGCTTTCACATACAAACACATTCAACACGTGTCTGGCTGCGTGTGCATCTGCGTGTGGATGTTGAGAATCAGAAGAGGACCGGTCCAAACCATCCAAGCACCTGAGTGTCCTTTTTTTGAAAAGGTGAGTACATGGCACATAGACACACACACACACACATGCATAGTAATATTGTATATGTGGACTGTTGTCTGATGTAGCCCTAACTAACACAGGGTACCAAAGGGTAAAATGGTAACCTATTTTGAGCAAAGCTTGTTAATGATTCATTTTACCAAAGTAAATGTCAGGTGAAATGAAAAAGTAAAAGCTGTTTTACTAATTTAGGTCATGGTTGTAAAGCTACAAGTGCATTGCCCTTCAGGTTTCTTTACCTTCTTTATGAGCAGAGCCCTGATCCTTCTGCTGATCTTAAATAGGATTAGACATGTTGCATGAGTGAGAGTGTTTGTGTTTGTGTGTGTATGTGTATGTGTGTATGAAAGTGTGTTTTTGTCGCCTTTTCTGGACCTTTGCGGTTCTCAAAGCACATTTTCCAGGACTTTTATCTTATCTTATTGCCAAAGGTCATAACTGGTAGGTAAGATGAAAGTAGTGTTAGGTGAGACTGGTAACAATATTGATGGTACTGAATTGAACAAACAGTTTGGTGTGTTTGCCACACACAAAGTAGATTTTCCATTCACTCTGATGCAGATGTCATAATCTGTAAATTACCTATTGTATTTGTAAATCATAATAATCTATACATGATCTACTGCCAACTTTTTAAGTCGGCCTTAATCTCATTATTTTCTTTTCATTTAGTTAACTAAATGAATTTATTAAACTAAATAAACAGCTGCTGTGCACTTTCCAACAGTGTTTTTTTATTAATAGTGAGCAATAGAGTTCTGATTGTCATTAGTCAGTAGAGTTGTTGGTTTTTACTGACTGAGGCTACATTTTTTTAAAAACTGCATCAAATCCAAATGTCCCTTTTACTGTGCATTAAAAGTAAGCTGCATTTTCTTATGACGTGAAGATGATAGTTTAACATCGTATGACGTTTTTCACTGACATCTGCAATACCATGGTATGTTTCCCAGTTGAACCATGGATATTGCCGAGTTCCGTCGCAGAGGAAGGGAGATGGTCGACTTTGTGGCTGACTACTATGAGAACATAGAAAAGAGACCCGTCTTCCCAGACGTTGAACCAGGATATCTTCGCTCTCTAATCCCCAGCGAGGCTCCAGTGGATCCAGAAACCTATGAGGATATTATGAAAGATGTGGAGAGAGTGATAATGCCAGGGGTGAGCTTTAACGAGTCGAAAATGTATTGGCCAAAGCGCTGCACCTCTGATGCTTTAAATCTAATCAGTCTTTTCAGGCATTGTATAGAAAACATTACTCATATGATTTTTAATTTGTTATTTTGCTCCTGGTATTTCTTGTCTTTCATGTGAAGGACTGACTTAACTCAAGTTTTATGGTATGCTTTTGGTTCCTTGCCTCCCCAGACACCAAATGTTAATTTTGATCGACAAAGTTTAAAACCAGGTAAAATAGAGTGATCTAATTAAAGTGACAAACTGAGTAATACGAAACTGTAGGTAAAACTATTTATTTTCTTGTTGAATATTTGTAGTTGAGGCTTAAGAGTCAGGAAACACAACCTGATTAGACTTAAGCCTTTACTCGACTTTATCTCAAAGCACTTGAATCCATATTTAACTTTTTTTTTTTTTTTTTTTCTTCGGTCCATAGGTGACACACTGGCAGAGCCCAAACTTTTTTGCTTACTTCCCAGCTAATTCCTCATTACCTGCCCTTTTGGCTGACATGCTTAGTGGAGCCATTGGCTGCATTGGATTTACTTGGGTGAGTGCAGTCACTGATGTGTTTTCTTTTAAATGGCATGTTTAAAGTTTAAACCATTTCTAATAAACGCTGGAATGATGCTGGCATTTTGCCCTGGTAAAAATTGAATTTACAGTGTTTTTAGTTTTTTGCTAAATTTAAACATTTTCTCTCCTAGTTATCTGTTGTCTAAAATTTAAAATGTCTAAATTGTATTATTTGAATTATGTTTGTTATTTTGTTTAAATTTGTTTTATGTCATCTCATGGCATTCACCTTAGCTATTAAAAAATATTGGAGTGAGATATTTGTATTTCAACCAAAATGTGGTAACTAATGCTACAATTGTATGTAAATATTTAGATATTTCAGATAGCCACTGCTAACTTACATTAACTTACATTAATTCTGTTCTATGGGTGTGCTCTAGGCTGCCAGCCCAGCCTGCACAGAGCTGGAGACTGTGATGTTGGATTGGCTTGGAAAGATGCTACAACTGCCTGAGTGTTTCTTAGCTGGGACTGATGGTCAAGGAGGAGGTGTCATCCAGGTTAGTCATTCTCCCTGTGTGATAAATGTCCAATCAAATGTATCTTTGTTGCAACAGTGACATTTACATTTCTGCATCAATACTTACTTTAATCAGCCTCTCGGTGTGATCTGAAGAAAACACACTGTCAAACCTCCGAGTGTGCCTGAACTCACTTTATTGGTAATTTGTGATCTATTGATTTGTTGTCACTTTCTGTTTTCATTTGTCTTTAAATCACGGTGACAAAACATTGGCAGGAAATTACTTTTTATTATACGCCCTCAGACAGACAGTGATGACGCTAACGTGTGGTTAAAAGCTAAATCCATTCATCTGTCTGTCATAGACGTGTGTGTTAGAGTACAGGGGCATGACCCTGCACTGTAATGACAGATCATTTCATACCTCTTCTATTGTAACCACCGGAGCCAATGTCTCTCTCTCTCTCTCTCTCTCTCTCTCTCTCTCTCTGTGTGTGTGTGTGTGTGTGTGTGTGTGTGTTGGCGGGCTCACATCTGGTTCAAAGTGTTTTTGTTTTTGCCCTGGCTCTCTGTGCTGTAAGTGTAGCTCACTATGGCAACAAACGTGGCTCTTTTCACCTGCAGCACAGATAATTAGTGTTGTGACAACACATTTACAGTCCATTATTATATTCTGACACAAAGAGGAAGTGAAGTGGTCTCAGAAAGAACTTACACTGACCTTAAATTTTACATCATTTTTTATTGATTTGTTGGAAGACAAAACACTTCCCTTTACAGGACAGAAATATTTACAAAGTATTTCCCAACAGACCACAAAAAATCTCATTGTAAAGTTACATTTTAAACCAACCCCTTTACTCGTTCTCTTTGTACTCATTTTTGGACAGCCTCACCTAATGCCCAGGTTTACCAAAATCGTGATCAGTAACTCGTCAATGTCCAGCCCTGAACATCCTTGTGAAGTAGAAAAGCGAACTAGATAATGCGTTGATTCATCTGTATAATCCCTAATGGACAAAATACCTGTTTATTTTATAGCAAAGTCTAAGCTCTACGTTTACTTCTCAGTGTGTTATGGTACACACGACACTGTTGTTTTTCAATACGTTATATGTTTTATTCCAAATTGTGTACTTGCTTCCAATCCATAATTTTGACTTTATTATTTATAATATTGACCAAACAAGTTAGAAATTCTTGTGTTAACAGCTGATCTACTGCAAAAGACTGCCCTGGGGAGGTGTTAAGTATATGGTTCCTCTGGGATTTGAACTCTGGACTCTGGCTTTCTGTTACAGAAATGCAGGGCAGTAGTGCTAACCGCTACACTTGGAACCACTAATCTGGTTTCCCTGTCTTAGAAGATTGTCCTAAAATAAACAACAGGAAGAGCACTAGGCCATGTCGAGCCTTTGCTTTTCCTCTACAACCTTTTCATTTCCTGGCAGCCAGTGCTCTGATAATCACTGTGATTTGATGCGCAGCAGGTTGATTGATCCTTTCTGTCGTTCCCCAGGCTGTAAAATGTTGATCTTAATCACGCTGCAGTTGTGAATTTGTTTTGACACAGTCTATATTAGCCCATCTGTGTGTCAAACAGTTTGTGCTTATTGATTGAATGCTTTGAACATTGACTGTAGATTTGCAGTAATGTGCCTTTAAGCATTAGCGTCTAGATCAGGAGGGATGACTCATTCTCCAGCTTCGTAGCGTAGTTGTGTTTCTTTTCTGAGGAATGTCACATTGATCAAAACAAAAGAAATATATCACAAAAATGTATATGTTCAGATTCACATATTTAGAAAAATATCCCAGAAACAATGGTTGTTTCAAACTCTAGAATAAGGAACCCACTCTGTTTACGAAAACCAATAAATTCATGCCAACTAGGGACAAATGTTACTCAGACTCAGGTGAAGTCAGGCTTTAAAATACTCAAACACCATTTAGGTTTTCCTATTGGCTTTAATTTTGCTACAATAATAAATTGAAGTATTCAAACTGTATCCGTCAGAAGTAGCCATTATCTATTTAATTTATTTTAGACATTAAAGGTACCTCGAGGAGGAACACTAAACCAATCCCTGCATAAACAAAGAGATGCAGAGGTTGTGACCAAGAATGTAGATTACTTTGACTAGATATATAAATTATTAATTTATATTTTATAGAATGACCCTTGAATACTTTATGAGGCATTCATTTACAACATTCTTTTGACAATCATTTAACTTCCATCATTTTATGGAACCACGAATGGATCTGCGTGAGATGCATTTTCACTTTAACTGAGTAGATGAGTAGAGTTTCCAGTTTTTATAAGATTGGAAAAATTCCAATTGGAAAAAATGTTTTTTTCTCTTTCTCACACAGGGCACTGCCAGTGAAGCCACTCTAATGTCTCTGCTTGCTGCTCGGTGTAAAACGGTTCGAAGGGTTCAGGCCTCCAACTCTCAACTCTTAGAGGGGGAAATCTTTTCCAAAATGATGGCATACACATCTGAGGAGGTAGAACTGAGAAAAATGCGAGAAAACCAAAGATTAAATCTGTCTTGTTTATTGAATAACGTTTATAAAACAGTAACAATATAAATGAGGGTTTGTATATTTCCCCAAAGAAGCACAGGTTACTTTTTATTTATGAACAAATGGAAATGTAATTGTCAGTTGAATTGTCCTTGTTGGTTCAAACTGGCAAGTTCGCAGAATTCTTTTCCATTTTTTGAGGAAAGTTAACAATTCTTTCATTTCAGTTATTTACACAACTAAAGGAGAATGATTTATTTCAAAATATTTCTTACATTCACCTACAGATATGTCTGTGAAACCACTTTACTGCAGCAAGAACATCCCCTTGTTGGTGTTCCCACACCAAACAAAGTACATATTAAGTGAGAATGTTATGACAAAATGCTTAAACAATTTACAGCTCACTTTGGGATGAAAATAAATAAAACAATTGAATGTAGCTTTTGCTGATGTTACTGCTGCAGAGAGGTGCAGTGTATCTCTGTTCTGATAGTCCAGGTGATCATTAAGGCTTACTGCTGTTACAGGGCATGAATTTTGCAGTAAAAGAGTGAGACACAGGGTCAGTCAGGCAGCAGCCTTTCAGACTGGGTTTAATACCAGACTGACTGTGTGATTAGGTTAGGGTGCTGCCTGAGGGCCACACAGACCTTTACAGATGGACCAGTCTGCTCTTTTGCTGCAGAAGCTCACTTAAAAGGGACATTTTAAAAATGATCTTTGTTTAGTAGTTAAGTACTTGAAAAAAAGAAAGAAAAAACTAAGTCAGTCTTATAAATCATTTTTTAAAATGTATTCCTATTTTTTTTAACTCATATTCATATAACCTTAAATTGTTTTTACTTACCTAAATGTACAGGTTCGGTGTATAGAACTTTTATCTGATGACGTCCGTAGTATCATTTCTAATACAAAACTCTACCTGTCTAATAATCCTGTTTCTTGCAAAGGCTCATTCCTCAGTGGAGCGTGCAGCTCAGATTGCAGGAGTGATGATCAGGAAGGTTCCGACAGATGACACTTATGCCGTTAGAGGGGAAATGCTGAAGAAGATGGTGGAGATGGATAAGGCAGCTGGACTGATACCATTTTATGTAAGGGAATACAAAAAAAAATCTGTGCCCCAGGGCTGCACACTGGCAAGAAACAACAACAAAAAACCAAACGTGATTATCTATGCCAGAGATGGCCACACACGCTGGCAAGCCACTTGGCCTGGGCTGAAGGATAACATTGTTTCTGTTGGGCCTAATTTATGTCTATCAGGTTAGAGACAATAATCCCTGTTAACTGGACACACAGATCACTATCAGTGCCTGACGTTCTAGAGCCTGCAATATTCTTGAAGCTGTGAATCATCTGTCTTTGTCAGATGAGCTGCCTTGATGTGCTCTGCTGAATGTTAAAATAGAAAATTATTATCATCTGTGAAATATTTATTCACGATTTTTATGGATTTACTGTAACAAATATCAAAGATGAAGAATATTTTAATGATTCTTTTCCTTTGTATCTCCTGCAGTTTTGTGCGACTCTCGGCACCACTCCTTCCTGTGCTTTTGATCACATCACTGAACTGGGGCCCATATGTAAGTCTTTGGGGTTAGGGGCGGGAGATTAGTTGAAGTGTGTCCAGACTTACTAGGTATTTGGTCATCAAGAGTGCAGACTATTGACCATTCTCTGTAGAAGCAAACATGTTTGTACTGCTACAGTAGTACAGTATTTATAGTATACTGTACATACTATACATACATACTTTTACATTTTTTGTAAATGTCTGAATATTTATACTAATGATACCTTGTGTGTTGCAGGTAATGACGAAAACATGTGGATGCACGTCGATGCAGCGTATGCAGGCAGTGCTTTTGTCTGCCCTGAATTTAGACATTTGTTAAATGGCATTGAGGTGTGTAAAATACCTCAGCACATTAGCAATATGACTACCACCACTACTGCTGCTGTCAGTAGTACAACATCTATTACTGTCACTACTGCTTTTCTGCAACTCTACCTTTACTGCGTTCACTGCTCCCACTACTATTACTAGGCTTCTACTTTTTGAGTGCATAATACTCAATGTAGTACTACACTCTTAAATCATTTCTGTTACTTCTAATACTACTTGTACTGCTAACTTCACTTTTTATTCAACTGAAACAACAGTTATTACTGACACTCTTACTTCAGCTTCCATTACTGTGACTATGGTGCTGCACAGTAGTTAAGAGTCATCTCAAGGGACTAGTACTATTCATTATATTACTTTTTAATAAAATGATGTTAACATTTTCTTAAATAGGAACTCCCGCGTTAGGCATCTTGTTATGAAAAGAATCACATGACAGTTGATGATGAAAATCAGAAGTGTCCATTCAACTGCTAGCAAAATATCTACTGTAACATCGATGACGCCAAACACTATGTGTACTGATTATATCCAGCTGTTTTATTTTTGTTTGGAAAAAGCTAACCGTTAACCGTTAATGACAAGGAGGAAACATGCAAGAGTGAGTAAAAGGCTGAACAATCAGCAGGAGAGGCATCAGCGTCACCCTGCCTTCTGAATACACTCGGGCAGCTGGTGCTCTGTGAGTGAAGCACAGACACAAAGATAAGCACAAAGTAATATCCTGAGGCTGCGTCAGACCTTTATATCACTGTTTATTAGACACAGTTTCAGACAATGTGAGTGGTTGGACAGAACAAACAGACACGCCTGTAAAACAACCAATGCTTTCGTCTTTTGCTCTATGCTAACATTTAATTTTTGACATCTTTGCGCTTTGCCTGCCCATATTATAGAAATAGCCAAGTCTTTTGTTTTGTTTTGTTTGAAATTAGTAAACAATGACAATATACTGTATTTATTCTACTGATCCTATGGAAAAATATACCCATGTTAGATTTACTTTACCCTCAACGTCAAAACGGTGCCCTTTTGTTTCCCATAGAAAAAAATTCTAAGCAGAGAAAGCTTAGAATTCTAACACAAAAGTCAGAATAATTATATTATTATATTTTAATATAATAGGTCAGGTTATATTTAAATGTTAGGTCTCCAACATTGACTATTTTTCCTAATTTCTAGAGCATTAACAAAATGCTTCGACTGTGCTGCAATACATTGGCGGTTGTTTTATTTTCTGTCAGGGTGAGGCAGAGCTCTGCAAACCTTTCTTCAAAATCCAACAGGAAGTCAACTAGTTTTGAGATTTTTTCTAACAAGGGTTTTCAATATTTCGGACCTGCTGACAAAGAATTCCAAACAATTTATTTATTTCATGGGAAATTGGTTTACAAAGGTGATAGAGCATAAAATCAACCCATGATACTGACATTGCAACTGTATGAGGAGGACACACAAAGAAGGAAACCGGTCTTTTTGGATAAGAGGGCAGCCCTGCTTGAAGGTTGGTTGCTAGGATATAAGTGATGGGTGAGCAGGCAACCATCTCTCTTTGAATCAGTCATCATGGCAACTGTCAGCCAGCTGTCTGATTCACATCCTCACTCTGAGCTAGGTTATTGCATCGGTGAAGGTATAGGAGAAAAGGATATTAGAAAAGATAGGAAACAAACAGATCAGGAGAGATCTGGAAGTGAGTGTGTATCATTTAAAAAAAGAAAAGCAATACTGTCCATCATCCACTAAGTGTGGGATGTGTTGCGTGCTACACTTTTGCATTTCAAATAAATTGTTGCAGCTGCACTAGAGCGAGCTGAAGGTTAGATGTTGACTCACTGTGAGTAAGCATTCAGTAACTATACAGAAATGGTAACTGAATGAAAAATATAGATAAAATCTAAAACATCTGTGTCACATCCTGTAATGTAGATTTGGTTGGAGATTGATCATTTTCTCTTAACAAATGTCCTCTGCAGGCGAGCTACTATTAGACTGCGTTGCTGTCAGTTACCGTGTTCTCTGAAGTAGCTCCTTTATTGTTTAATTTCCTTTAAATATGAATTTCTTTTAAATCTATTATTCTAATACATTTACATCACGGTCAATTAATAAGACTTAAATACAGAGTCCTCGAACACGTGGCTGCAGCCAACTTTACACTGTTCACAGAAAAAAATCTCTGATGATGCTAATTTTTGTTTTTGTGTTCTTTCTGCAGTATGCAAACTCATTTGACTTCAATCCACACAAATGGCTTTTAGTCAACTTTGACTGCTCTGCAATGTGGTGAGTTTTTTAAACAATCTTTAGTAGCTTAGACTTTGCCCTATTACAAACAATAGTTGTATGCTCCAATAGAATGTCTAATACACAAGCAGTTACAACAGAAAATAACCAGTTTATGTAGACTGTTGTACGAGATTATCTTGAATACTTCTCCAGTCGTTTTATTTGGCTCGTTTGTTTGTTTTGGCGTTTTGTTATTAACGAATCGACCATCTACTGGCTGTTTCATTCTTTGTCTGAGACAACCTACGAGGGGATTTCTTCAATTTTGGTGCTGTGACTACAGGAAGAAGAAATCCTCCAATTGGTGTCATGCTCACAAACAAAGAAGGGCCAAATCTTTCAACTGGGCCGTGAACCGGATTGATTATACCAATAGTCTTTCAACTGGTGCCGTGACCCAGATCGAAATATAGCAAGAATCTTTCAACATTTTACATTATATATGCCAATTTACATTTGCAAACAACTTGGAAAGGAAGAACCTCTTTATCATAATTTATATTGGTTTTTTTTGTATAGATCATTCATATAATCTGTATCTAAAAATGAGAGAAACTAATACCATGTCAAAGCTGATATCCATCTACACCTCACTTATTTGCACAGTAAAAATAGAACTGCGCTTTCCATCTGCCCCTTCTGTCAGCAGACAAAAAGTTGTTTGCACAAAGTGGACATAGAGATGTTTCAACAAGTCAGGACAGGAGGAAATTTGTTGTTCTTGTGCTGTCATTATAGTGACATTTGAACTGGTGTCTTACAGTAGGCCTGTAGCTGTTAGCTCTGTGGAAAAAAACAGAACAGTGCCAGGTCCTACCGTATATGTGGCGATCACAACAAGCCAATGTCATTGTTACAATTTTTGTTTTATTACAGGTACAGATTTAGGTATTGTTCTGTCTGAATGGTCTTTCACAATATTCACATTTCAGTGTTAAATGATTAAAAGCTAAGTGAAGTATTTATCAGAATGTTTAAACGTAAAATTCAGATATTCAGAATTTGCAGGTCAAGCTTCAGTTTGGCTCCAGACATAACCATTTAGAGATTTGTGTATATAGCAGAATCGAACATGCAGCCCATTGTACAGTGTGTATTGTTTTGTTTTTAAACAGAGTGCAGAAAGATGCTGCTTGTTGCTACCTACTTATGCAACCCTTGATTGTGATATATTCAGTTGGGAACTAGATAGGTGTGGAAATTTTTTAAAAAAAATAACAGCAGAATGTTGTGTTATTTCAGAAATCTTTTTTTCTGCTTGTCAACAGGGTGAAGAACAGAGCTGATCTAATTGGAGCTTTCAAGGTGGATCCACTCTACCTGAAACACGAGAACCAGGAATCAGGTCTGGTCATTTATAAGGTTTAGATTCCTGAATGAATAATACAAACAAATATGAAGAACAAGGACCACAACTCTTTTTTTTGCTACTTATTTTTTACTGGCTGAGGTCCAGTTGCCCAGGCTGCAGATGGACTCAGGCATAGGCTATAAAATGATGTACAGACAGCTGTACCTCCTATTACACTCAGACTCCAAACAAAAGACTTCTCACACTCTGAAGGATTGGATCTAATTAGTGGTCATTAGCAGCAGCTAACACGGGCCTGTATTTTGTAGAGATGTACGACGACAGTGTGCGTGGGCTGTTTAGTGGTTCAGTAGCAACACCTGGACTCAAGCAGCCTGACTGGAGCAGATAGAAGCCAAAACTCAGAGGTTTTAAAGACTTTTGTTCTGCATTCATTTACACATTCAGCCTCGTGTAGTGAATTGGGATATATTTGTTCACATTGACTGCTGTAAGAATCACTTATAATAAGGGTGATTATTTAAACTATTCAGAAAACTGTGTTAACAATCATCAGTTGTGGGCATGAAAACTAAAATTATGTCTCTTTCTTTGAACAGGTTTGGTGACCGATTATAGGGTAAGATTAGTTATTCCTTTTTTTCTGAGTAATTGATGCTATATTGTGTAAGAAGGAGTCAGATCTAGTGTTAGGAAAGTGTTGGACCAGGGAGGGCAATCTAGCATATGTCACATCACACACTGTTTTTGCTGATTTGAATTCTGGGGAAGAATGCAGCTGAACTTAACTCTTTATACACAATCTGAAACCCTACTATATTTATATTTTGACCAATTTTTTTTACACATCAACATACTTCATTTTTATGTAGTTCCTTTTACTAAAATCATTGTTTTTCCTCTTACTACAGCACTGGCAGATTCCACTTGGAAGAAGGTTCCGCTCCCTGAAGATGTGGTTTGTCTTCCGTCTGTATGGACACAAAGGGCTTCAGTCACATATACGACATGTAAGCTCCCGGCAGATGAGTGCATTTAACTTCTGCATGTACAATGCTTACTTTGCATTTTAAGAGGGACATAATCTGGCTTTTATACTGTTTGTGGCAGTACACTACCTCATAATATTGACATTTTCTAACTAATCTTATTGTACTATAAATATCAAAAACATAGATATGCAGATGAAACTCTAAAAAGTATTCAGTACTGGATTTTCCATCTTAGTTGCCTAATACTCCTGACGATTTTATAAATATTACACATCTTATTAGGAATGCCATCCTCTTCCCTTCTTCCCACATCTCACTGCTTCTACCTACTGAAGTGCCTTCACTTCTCATTTCTTCAATCTCATATTTTAACTTTCAACCTTTTATGGTGACATTTTCTCCTCTTCCTTCATCTTTTTTTTTTCTTTCTTCCCTGTGCCTTTTGCTTTATCACTGCATGGCTGTCTCTCCCTCTGCTCTTCATCTCCCCCCCTCCAGTCTGCACTGTCAATCAAATAAGTCTGTTTAGTGTTTACTCTGTATTTAAATGACACGGCAGCAGCAGCATTGATCCCTGCAGCCATAACGCATGACTCACTATCCCTCTCTATACTTTACATCAATCTTTTAGCTTTGATAATATTTTAGATTGAAATGTTTCCTGTACAATTCTACATTGATTTTCCTATTCATAGAACATAATACACATCCAAAACAAGTAAAAACATGAAAAATAAAACATTTTATCCCTTCTTTCTAAAGTAAGCAGTCGCATTCGGAAGTCAGTGCCAAGTGAGACAGTTGTATGGTCAAACGAACAACGCCATGTGATGTTACAGCACTGCCATCTCATGGAGTTGGCGGAAATTGCATACCTCCGTGTAAAGACAGTTCCATATCCAGAATCGTTGTGCAAAATTCAATCTCTTTCAAAGACATTTTAATATTAGTGACACGGTTAAATATTAAAAATAAGAAGTAATGTAATTATATTTATATTTTATTTAATTAATAATTACAACTTATTGCATTTCCTCAAAAGTGACACAATAAGTAAAGGTTTCTATTTAAAATGTGTGAATTCAAACCACAAAGGTTATGTTACCTACTGTATATTTATCGTATCCTTCTGAGTCTGTTTACCATAAACACACGGTAATTACAGGTTTATGTATAACAGTTCATGATTTTTATTTTTTTGTTGTTGTAAAAGTTTACACTGGATATTAGCTGCACATTTTCCAACCACAATTTGGATAATAATAATAATAATAATAATAATAATGTTTGTCAATTTTGACTGTTTTCTATTTCTAGCATGTGACCCTAGCTAAAGAATTTGAGAGTCTGGTACGAGCAGACAAGAGGTTTGAGATCTGTGCTGAAGTCATCCTGGGTCTGGTCTGCTTTAGACTTAAGGTAACTTTTTTTTTTAAGTAATGTATCTATCCATATAATGTATCCATCATTTAAAACAAAAACCCACAATGTTCTCTAATCACTGCTCTCTCCCGTCAGGGTGAAGATGTGCTGAGTGAGAATTTACTAAAGAAGATTAACCAGAAAAGGGAGATCCACCTGGTGCCTTGTCAGCTCTCCGGCCGCTTTGTGCTGCGATTTGCTGTATGTAGTCGAACGACAGAGTCACATCACATTCAGAAAGCATGGCAGCACATCACACAGCTGACCTTTGAGGTGCTGCAGGTGTCCAATTATTGAGGGGTGGTAAAGCAAAACCTCTAGGTTACCAAAAGGTGCACCAAAGTTAGGATATAAAAAAAAGAATCCATGTTGTGGTACTAAATGTTGCAAAAGGGAAAACCTGCAGTCGTGTGTGTTGTTGTTGTTTCCCTTATGTTAAAAAACAAACAAAAACATTCCAAAAACTGAGTGCGTAAAAGGGATTGTTTCTGGTTCTATGTGCACACTTGATCTCTGGCTTTAATCTGTCGTGTTAAATCGTCCTCATCAAATGCAGTAATTCCTCTGCAGACTTATCTTTGGTGTCTCATCTTCTTCTGTGTCTCCATGATCCAACATGGTGTATCAAGTAAGTGGATATTCTTCTTTTTAAATAATAATAATTGTATTATTTAATCAATAATAATAATATTAATAATAATAATAATTATTATTATTTATTTCAGGAGTTTGGTTGACTGTGAATGAAAGATTTTTTTATTTCAATGAATGTATTTGAAAATGAGAGTGTGAGTGTATTTTTATGACCAGTGAGATGTAATATTTTATGAGAATTACGAGAATCTAAAGATTTAAAAAAGAAATTAATCACATTTAATCAATATATTCTATTGTTGGTCTTTTTCGTTTCGTTTCATTCTAACAGCCCCTGAGAGGTTGTTAAAATGCTGCTGATAGTTAGGGAAATAAACTCTAAGTGCTTTACTGTAATTATTTTTTGGTATCTTAACAAGTACCTTGCTTTTTGTCTAATTCTTTTTTGTGAAATTCACCAATCTGGCATTTCTCACATTTTGTCAAAGACAATGCTTTTATGCTGTTGGTTGTGAGGTGGGGGAGCTTGAATATATAAGTCTGAAGTAGTGAGCTTTTTGAATCATGTGTCCCTTAAATATTTGTGCACCTTTTCTCTGGTTTGGTGCTGAAATGGTCTTAAAGTTAACGTTTGTGACACTGGAGTGATCTTTCATGTGACTGTGTCATGTGACCTCTGGAGTTTATTCGTCCTTGCTTTGTTTGTCCTGCATGCTTCAAGATGGGTTTATTTTAATAAAGCTCTGTTTAAGCGTCTGTATTTTATGGTCTGTTTTTTCGTGTTTTCTGAGTTTGGTGCATAGATTTACCGTACACAGAGCTCACCCCCCAAAAGAGAAAGGAAAAGACTAGAGTTAAAAACAACATCTGGTGAGAATTTTACTGATCAACTCTAGCCAGAAGTTATTGTATAGAGCAGTTGTTATATTAACTGTTTTAGCTAAGTAAATTGCTCATCTAAGAAAGACATGATAAGGTGGACTTTTTCTGTTCGTTCACATGTGACGGCCCCATAGCATATCACAAGTGGGCAAGAGGTCAGAAGACACTGACTTTTAACACTGTCAACAACTTAATCACAAAGGAAAAGACCATAGTTTTACAAATACAGATGACTTTGATTAATATAGGACCAATAAATATATAATATAATTACAGTCATACTCAATGTCTACATATGAACTCATACTTTAAACAACAGTATATCACTTGGAATCCCCCCACCCCACCCTTGTGGTGTTTTTTTCAAAATGATGTCCTTTAAAAAAAGACCAAAAATTGTTAATTAACTATGCTTGGTGTCCACGGTCAGGGCTTTATATGAAGCAGGAAAAAAAATGGAAACTAGAGAACAACCCACGTGACATTGTTCAACACCCATTCCCACCTTATGCCATGGAAGAATACACCATTAGATCTGTGGGTCAGGGTGTGGTCAGCTGCTTGTTTGATTTTAATAATGATATAATTTCTGTCCAGGTTTTCAGCCACTCTGAGGTGAATACCAGAATTTTCCAGCAGCTGTTTGGTACTGAAGATGTCTTGAAACCATGACAGCTGACAAAATCTACACTACACAGGTAAAATGTCCTGGGTTACTGAGAACATACATTCACACGTTTAGTGGCTTTGCAGTTCAAAGAAGTGCAGTTGTAAATGCTTTCCTCTGTGCACTAATGCAGTGTATTCTGACCTTTATGAGCCATGGCATATTCTACCTTAGAAAAAAATCCAGTGGGCAACCAAACAATCATATTCCAAAAGGTACTATAAAAGTATAATGAGAAAAGTATATTAAATGAAATATATTGATCTTGTGGTTTTACGTTACTCACAATTAATCCCTTACAATCACTAATTCTATCGATGAATAACAAGTAGATGTACAGATTAATTAGCCATATGCTGCCATCTAGCGTAACAGCATTCGAGCTTGTCACGGTCACATAGACAAATGAAGACAAATGATTTGCATTTAATAAATAATAGTTTTTTCAGACCAATGAGGTAAAATTGGACAAATTGGCCAAGGTTACCCGACGATCTCTAACATCACACTAACGGGCCGAATCAATCACTGCATTCACACGAATCGATAGGTAGTCTTGAGCCATGCACTCACCTTGGGTCATCACAAGAGGGTGCTGTTTAATATCCGTTACAGCTTTCTCGAAGCACATGGAGAACAGTTGACAGCCGATCGCCATTAGTCTCAAAATAGGCTGTTGCTACTGACACCAACACATACTTATTGAGTTGCCCTTTACATAACCGCTATATCTATATGCTGCTGTGCACCGAGAGAAACTGTTACTATATTTATGGTGGGCCTAACTACAGTAGACCATCATGGCTGACAACAACTGCAAGATTCGTGGATTGTCGTGCTCTTTGAAAAACAGTCTAACTGTCTTCACGGATTGGAACTCACAGGTATAGCTCTAAATGTGCTGGAGGTTGCATATCTAAATATGCACGAGACACTGAGCAAAAGAAACACTGTTAGTGCCCTAAAGTCACTTCCGGTAAGTTCCTCTAAGTAACAGAACATGTTCGTCACCAGCGATGTTGACTTGTTAGACAAATGTTCATGTTTGCTTGTTTGTTGGTTTATCTTTATCTATCTGTGAACTGAGGTGTCCACCAAGAAATCGTTTATAAACATTCTAAAACTTAAATGTCCAATCAAGATGAAGTTAAATTTTATTATATGCAGTGCACATGCACAATATCTGTTGTGTGGATGCACTAGTCTTTACAGCACACCAAAGTCCAGTTTAGACATCTATCTTTCAAAGACACTAGATCACTTGGGAGGTATAATGTTGGAAAGCATTACCATCTAACAGCCCTCAGCACATGAGTGAGTCTGAAGCCACCACATGAGGCAGCTCAGATCATGTTACATGGCAGGAGTTTAACACATGGGTTTGCACTGATTGCTTTTGAACGGTAATTTCTATTAGGATTGGATTTCCTTTTAAAAATGCCATAATTGTGTGATCAATGTTAGTTCACAGCTTCAGTATGCATGAGTTGTGGGGTTGTGTTACATCTTTTCTGATTTGTGTCTAAATCGGTTTAATCGGTTCATTCCCTGACTCCAACCGATTTAGACAAAACAGGATGAGTTTCTTCCTTTTGTTGTATGAATAGTGGGGATGAGAGAAGCGTGATCAACAAAAACGTGGTACACAGATGTACTCTAACTGGTTGTGAATTGGTATCAATGGTTTAAACAAATCAACCATATATCTGTTGTAAATAATACAGTCAAAGCATGAATTCGTTTGTTGTCTTAAAAGGCATTTACATGCATGCACAGAATGGCACTGACAGTACAGCCAATGATTCTGTATTACGGCCCATCTGCTTATGGTTTCACTAGCTCGGCGCCCAGTGCTTGTTTGTGGAACATCAGCTGCAGACAGCAGACATCCGGCCTGCTTCAGCTCCCCTCACTGTCTGCAGGTTAGTTAGTAATTCTACAGCTGACAAGCTGCCAAATGGATTGTTAGGGACTGTAATATTATTGGGGAGAACAGCTTCACCCAGGTTTGATGCCACTTTTGACGTTTTCCAGAAGCCTTTGTGCAGATACAAGGCAATGATTAAAATCCATCTTTTTTTTTTTTAAATGTAGTCTTTTTTTGGACATTTTTCCAAATTAATAATTCCATTATTTGAATTAGTCACAAATAAAACAAGTGTGAAACATGAACATCTACCTTCTAAATTGTTTTTGTCCAAACTAGGAATGTTGTTTTATCTCAGTCATGATTCATTGGGATTATTTATAATCTTGAGTGATAATTATTAATTTTGATTAATCCACAGCTTCCTCTTTGACTAATCGGATTAAAAATGAATTGTTTGACAGTGCTATTTATAACTTCATCATTGTAAAAAAAAAAAAAGTAAACATGGAGGCTATTCAGTGAGAATGGGAGGAATAAATAAGAAAGTTATTCAACACAACTGTCCCAAAACTCACCAATGAATCGAATTTTTTGTAACGTTAAATAGTTAAAGAGGTAAGACGTAACAGTGACAATTGATGAGAATCTATGCCACATATGTGCAGGAGGTGCTGTATTGTATGTTACTGTGACAGTAGAAAAGTGCTGTGGCTTCATGAGTGGGCCCTGCAGAGGTAGTTTTGAGGTGGTTGATGGTTGAGGGAGGTAAGTGATGGGGGACCGGATTTAAAGCACTAACTTTAATGCACTAACCCACGAACCAGAAACCCACACATTAGAGACTTAATGTTTTTTTTTTTGTTTTTTTGTTTGCTAATTTTTGTCGAGAAAGGGTATGTATGCTAGTGATGTGTTGTAATATACTTCAAAACATTCTTTTATTACGCACATTTTACTCGTATTAGTGAGAAGGTTCACTGCATATAAAAATACTGACTGTACAGTAGAGTGTTATTGTTGAGGATTCCTGAATTCTGGTGTGGTTGGACTTTTGGGAGTACTGTTGCTTATTACGCCTGACAGCAGCTGTCCAGTTGTTGTGTTGAGGCGTTTTCTCTCAGGAATGGTGGCTTAACTCTCCTTTCTGGCCCCTAATCCACTACAAGAGGCTTCCCAGAAAATAACCAACCTTCCGATCCATCTGTTAGTTTTCTTTATTTGGCAGTTAGAAGACAGCATGGTGACCCCATGGTCAAATCCTAGCCTCCTTATATTGATTTACATGACATAATCCTGAGTACAAAGGCCAAAGCATTAATTAGGTTTTCTAATTATGGAATAAAAGAAACAAGGATAATTATAACTGTCAGTGATAACCAAATGAGTCAGAGAGAAAGTATGAGAACAAATGACAAAGAAGGAAAAAAAGAAAAAAAAAAGAACACAAGAGATGAACACAAGAGAGAACACAATGTCATTATCAATAAAGGCTCAAATTTAGATATTTGTCCATAAAAGCCTGGGTGTTTCCTCAGATTTGGAGTGCATCTGTACTCTAATTGATTTGGCCACAACACGGCCACATCATTTCCTTTATGGCCTGTGGCGGGGTGTTTAGTGCATTCTGAAAGCACCACATCAGACTCACAGTTAGAAACAACGTCTCTGGGCGACATCCCAAATTCCAGCAAGCAATCAACAGTCCTAATGTATGGATCTAACGTAATGCAGGCTTATGGGAACACCACTAAAGCATTTAGAAGGCTGATCCACCGCAGTTCAGAAATAATAATGAGATGAGAAAATGATGAAAAATTTGTAATAATGAGGAAGATTGTTTTTGTATCTTAGGCCATTGTTTTTGTTGGTATTAATGGTGCTGTAAAGTCTGTGATAATTCCATTTAGTAATTTGTGAGAATAATCAAATTTAAATGCACTATAAGGCAGGGACAGAATGATGCACATTATATATCCAATAATCCCACATCCATGTTACCATTGCCTTAATACACAGTCCATGCATATGTTGTCTAAATGTGATTAATCCCCAGCTATCCTGTGATATTCAGATAAAAACTTCTTGTTTCATTCCATGATTTTAATTATTCTTAACCCTTTCAGAGTCACAGGGCGACTGAAAGCCACCCAAGCAGTCAACAGATGAGGTGGGATACACCCTGGACAGTCCTTAAAGACAATAAACCCTTCATATCTCCAGAAAAGTCAGTCTTTCTTTATTATCTATCCTAATTCTAACTTAATTTACCCACTTAAAAATTCAATTTTATTGATACTATGGATTGGGAGGAAATGGAGAAATTCCTGTATCATCGTAAACCAGTAGTGCACAGAGATAATTACAAAGTACTGAAGATCTTTTTAAAGGCAGACACACACACACGCATAAAAGCAATGGTCATTTTTGTATCCTTCTTTAAAATGCTAACAATACACACCATTATCCTAAAGAATGGCAGTCTGAATCAGACATAGAATTCAAATTGATGTGACTCATCAAAGTCTTCTTTGTGCACAGATCAAACAATAAAGGGACCACCCGAGAGCTGAAATATGAGGGAAGCTACCAGAATGAAATCACACAACAGCTCTTGTCAGAGTAAGTTTTAAAATGTCTGCTTCATTATACCGCACTGTATTCATGCTAACAATAAAATCTGAATGGGTCCGATAAAGACAGACAACGGAGGAGCAGCTGCAAGACCCTAATACCCTGGAGGGCCGTTTACATTCCTGTCTTAGCTCACAGCAGCCTACAGCCTAAGGCTTAGTGTGCTTGGACAAAATAGGACACATTGCATACATCAGTTCACCAGGTGGGTCTAAAACATCCTTTGTTTTAGTCCCAGAACTTGTAGCAAAGAATCATTTCCCTTAACAGATGCATTCTGATACAATTTTCTTAAATTTGAATGAAAAGATCAGAACGTTTGTTTAACCTGTACCTGTACTCTGCCACCATTCATATCATGGTCACACCTGGACCTATAAAATGATACCTTTGACCTTTTTGTTGGTCTGTATATCACTGTGGTGGTAGCTTAGTGGTTAAGGAAGCTGCCAAGTTACCACTGAGGTGCTCTGAGCATGTCACCGTCCCCACTCACTGCTCCCCGGGCGCTTAAAGCTGCCCACTGTTCACTTTGGTGATGGGTTAAAAGGTCACATTTCGTTCTGTGCAGTGGTGTGCTGTGTCGCAATGACAAGTAGTTCACTTTCCTTTCCTTCCCTGTAAATGAGGTGTTACTGGTTGTGTCATTGGTTTCCCAACAAGGACGTGTTATGGCTTGATAATCCTTTAAATTTTGTTATTGCCACTAACTAAGCTTCTGTCAGTGCCTGCATATTTATGAAACAGGGAAATGACA